GAATTATGTTAACAATTTTCGGTCACTGTGCGCGTGTAGATTAACATTTTAAAACTATGAAAATCTATAAGGCTAAAAGCACACAACCTTCGTTCAATGAACTGTGCACTTGCATCAAAGTGATAAACAGTGTTTACCCCCTCCCCCCTTGCCCCAGGGAACTCATCAAGCTTCGTCAACCGGTTTCTGTATCACCTCTAGACTTGAGCTAGAATAATTACAGTACATATGTTTCTTACTCGTAATATAATGGTCGAAAACCATTTATTCACTTCAAATGAACGTCATTGTAATTTAAAGTAATGAATAACAAATAATTCCTTCCCATCCCTACAAAAATTTTACTTGCTCAGTCTCTCTTACTCCCTATTCTAGATTATGCTGATGTCTCATTCACTGATTTGATTGAACTCCAACTTGACAAACTAGAGCGGCTTCAGAATACGTGTATCCGTTTCATTTTTGGCCTTCGCAAATATGATCACGTTTCTGAATGTCGTAGAAAGCTTAACAGGCTCCCAATCCGAACTCGTCGGAATTCTCATCTACTCCATCTCCTCTACCTTGTCCTTTTTGATCCCAAAGCTCCCTCTTATTCAAAAGAGATATTCATCCTTTTAAGTTCCCACCAGTTAAATCTTCGGTCGATCGATAATCTCCTTCTATTTGTTCCCGAACATAAAAGCTCTTTCTTTAATAATTCATCTATCTTGACGTCTATATATACATCTTTCTTAGACGTTACTGGCTATTACATCTTTATCAAGTGAACTTCACTGCTCGTCCGTCCTCTATCACAAAAAGAAAAAAAAAGGGCTGATAGTAAACTTGCTTATTTACCCTATTTTTTTAAATGGAAGAAGCAAAAGAAAAGCATGATCAATAAAAAAATAAATAAGTCACAATTGCTGGTAGGCTACTCTGGCTCTAGCCTTTATATATTGGCTAACAAACATAGGTATATATCGCATATTTTATCCATTAGTCTTAATATATTATGTTTTCCACTATTTGGCTAAGTAACAGACTTTCCTTTCCCTGCCCAGCATACTAATTCATCAATTCGTTAATATTCCTCACGCCCAAATGAATATTCGGATTCATATTTAGAAAGTGTCGCCCAATAATTTTGTACATACGCGAAAGTACATAGAAAGTTGTTTTATATGTAGCTGCGCCTGCGACGTCGTCTTATACTTTATTTATGATTGAGAAGGGCCGACAAATTAGAAAAAGCAGAAGCTATTTAAAAATGTTGAGCTAATTAGGAATCGAACCCGCGACACGAAGGTTACAGCAAATTTTAATTGTTTCAATGTCATCGGGTTTAAATAAATAAAGCCTATATTTGCGTTAGTTTAACATGCAGATATATTTTGTACTATAACATTTATATATATATTTATATATATATTATCATTAATATATTTTAAATGAGAATACACAAGTAGGTAATAGAAATCAGTATTTCTACTATTTCTGAATTCACACGTCTGCATTGAGAACATTCCATGAATCTCGATGACACAGCTTACTTGAGGAAGAGCTAGGCGTGTGTGCGTGATGTTACTTTTAGTGTCTTTAAATATTACTTCCGTCGTACAGCGATGACTATTGATACTGATTTCACTCAACTTAAAGAAAGAAAGATCTTAAAGAAATCTATCTTAAGTTTAGATCTAATATAATACCTACTACGCTACAGTTTTATTTAAACTACAGCGAATAAATAAAAAATAATAGTTTCTCGGGCTAGGGTTTGACTCTAAAACGATTAGCTGTCTCAAAATTTCTTAGTTAAATTTGCTTGCTTAGCTTAAAATTCGTAAAAATTATAGGCAATTTTATTCGACCTATCCGACCGAAACAGTTTGTTTCCACTGAACTCCAAGGCAGGACTTATCTTGTTTGAGGCAAACAAACTGTAAAGTGTAATACTATGCATTTTGACTTCGTAAAAAAGAAATATACGTCCTATAAAAAAAATTACTAACCACTAGAGGCAGGCTATTGACTTATTTACATTTTTGTAGTCTAAAAATGTTCTATAAGAGCACAGAGCCCGAAAATTGTTAACATAATTCTTAAACAAATAATAGTACAAATTCACTTTCGCCTAAGTTAACTGCGCGTTTATTTTCCTCATTGAAAATCATATTTTTATTATTAAGCCACTCTACCTCTGGCAGCCTCATATACACTTAGAAAATAGATCGAGACTAAAAATATTTATACGTTGGCATTATATTAAAGCGTACTGCGAGTAATGAGTGATTAATATCACATCAGACATCACTTAACGGTTCCCATCACGTCTAATACTTGAGGAAGAGCATTACGTATCTAACAATACGGTTTTGCGGGGGAAATGCTATTGTCTTCACAAAAAAGTAGGAACAGAATGAGAGCGTACTTAATTGCTAATTGTACGGCATTAGTTGTGGAGTTAGTGAATACGGCTTTATTGCTTATTTTTCGACCGATTTCAAGCTTCAAAAATGTCATCTTGTTGACAACAACCACATACTAGTATTATTTTATTATTCATCATCATTGGATATGGAAAATATGTTTAATTACTACATTGGCTATGTTTGTGCAATAAAGAGTTATTATTATAGATAAGAAGGTTGGCAGAACAATAAAAATTATATTGTCTGCTTATATCTATTTCATTTTGCTTCTCTAAAACACTAAACGTTTGCTTATTAATTTTCACATTTCGTTCCATAGGCTAAATCGTAACACTTTTAAAAGCGCATACACAAAAAGCTAGAGAATAAGATGGCATCGTGACATCAAACTCTTTTTTCCACTATTATATAAATTTGACATAAAAATCAAGAGTTGAATCGATGTTTTTATGTTAGAAGAGGACAGGCAAGACTGAGGTCCACTTGATGGAAGCTGAAATTCCCAAGCCATATAATATTTCGGCAAGATGTGTTGTCGATTTTGGCGTTGGATTTTTCGAAAATACACAGACTGAAACCTTAACGCGATTAAACTTCACGGGTTTTCCGTCGGCTTCACGGCAATTTCGACATTTAATATATAGACTTTCCAGAAGAAATACTGTGTTATAACAAATGAATTTAATAAATACTGTCTATAGTTTACGCGAGTAGTACACATTTGAATAAAACACTTTAAACGGTTTAAAAGGAGACACAGGAAGAGGTCTCCCCATGACCACGGCTGCTGCAAAGCATCCGAAACGTCGGGCCGAACTTAAAAATCATTTTCAAATAAGTTTAACTAATATATCGCGTTTTAAACCGTTAAAGTGTTTTATTTAAATGATTTGATTAGAAACATGTTAGATCCGGTGGGGTTGAACCCATGACCTGTTTATTGTTAGCGATATATTGCTACTATTAGACCATAGTAAAAACAATGACCTCTGTAGTCTTATTCCGTATACACAACAGTTAAAGAATATTCATAGACTATATGCTCTCTACTATTCTATAGACTATATTTAAAGATTACCCATTTCAATTTTTTAATTGGTTTAGTTTAGTTCATAGTAAATGTACGTAAATGAACCTTGAAGGTGGGAATTAATCGTAATAAATTTCAGAATTTCGCAAGTCAGTTGCGAATGTAGGTTAGCTCTAAATATTTGGAATTGCGACTTGTTCAACGAGTTTTAACATTAGCTTTGAGTGAGACGTTTTTAGTGTCGTTACGAATTCCTATTAGGCTGTTATGTACATTTTGTAAAGTGTAAAATTCTGTTATTTTCTCCTTATTAAAAAGAAAAACTTGAAATACGCAACTTAAAATTGAGGCCGCTAGAGGCGAAGTAGCCACACTGCAATTTTATGATTTAAGTTATTTTCATAGTCTAAAAATGTTTATCTACAACAGCACAGCGACCGAAAATTGTTAGCAAAAGTTTTACACAAATAATTGGCCAAATTTATTTTCGCCTGAGTAAATGGCGCCATGCGTTAATTTTTTTTTATTACTAGGCCACTTTGTCTCTAGCAGCCTCAATTCTCACTGCCCCAATATTGAATCAAGACGTGGGTTACGGTCTGCATAGCATTATGAAGAATGTGGTTTTTCCTAATTTTGACTGGTTTTTGAAATGCAATACTTATTCAATAGACGTATTAAACTTGATACAAGATATAAATCTATGCACTTTTAAATTAACATGGTAACATTATTTATATACTACCGTTAGCACAGCTGTTTATTAAATACTGTCTATAGTTTACGCGAGTAATACACATTTAAATAAAACACTTTAACGGTTTAAAACGCGATATATTAGTTAAACTTATTTGAAAATGATTTTTAACTTCGGCCCGACGTTTCGGATACTTTGCAGCAGCCGTGGTCACGGGGAGACGTGTTAAACAGCTAGCTGTCTATTGCTGTTGATTTCGTGCCTTTTCTATTAAAGATATTTTCAATCGCTCAAATATCCTTTCCAGCTAGACAGTACCAGTATCTTATAAATTACTAAATATTGCTACTTATATCGTATCTACGTGAAATTAAATTTTTTATCGTTCATCATCATCACCAGCTGAACAGTCTCTTGCGGATGCCTCCTCTAATCGCTTCTACCATCACAATCTATGCTGTCGTTCTTGTTGTCAGTTATGAACAATTATGATTTCCATGTCCCTAACTACTCTATTCCATCATTTTTATGTTACCAAAAATAATTTTAGTTATTATATATAGATATAAATAGAGTTACCTGTTTATAGTTACCTATTCCACTAAATATTGTTAAAGTCTTGCATGAAACGATTAATGTTTGACATCTTACAAAATCATTTTACTTCTTTTTAATGTAGATTTTGCAATTTATCTACGAAGCTTAAACTTAAAGCTCACACCACGCACGAGATGAGACTTTTAATTACTGTCACCAAAGAAACTCGTCGTCTTTTGTCTCACATAGCGTCTTGTAATCCAGATTCCGCAGCTTAATGCTCTATTGACATAAAAATAAGGTGCATTTCCCCTCGTTCCAGACGTACGTGACGGAGAACACCGCAGATATAAACTCTAAAGCCATTCTCGAGAGCCTGAACAGCAAGTACTATTTCTACACGAGGACGCGAGGCTTGTTCCGCATCTGTTATCCAAAGGAGCGGCCTCCTTCTGGTGAGTTTTGCAAGGAAGCACCTTGGTACCTATACTATTGTTTATGTATAAGAGTGTCTATTTGTTACACGTTTCGGTGTTTAAACCTTACATACAAGTTGCACTGGTTGAGCGTGTAAATATTTAAACAGGACGTTTAAGGATATGCAGCACAATATTAAGATATCCAAAACACATTTGGTTAAATTTTTATTCCCTTCTAACTAAATAAATCACTGAAATAACTGTAAACCGAATCTAATTCTAAGGAAGATACAATTTAAGGAAGAGACAGCGTAACAGGAAAATAATGAATTAATTATTAATATAAATAGCAATTAACTGCGTAATATGGCCGCGTATATTGTGGGCATGGTATTTTCCATACAGTCAAACCACAATATAAAAAGTACTTATATGAAGTAACTCTGAACCGCGATTCGTTATTATAAAGGTTATGTAGGTTCTAAAATTGGTTATAAAAAGTTAAAAATAGTTTTATTCTTTAAAGAATCGAATTTTGTCGTAACAAACAACTTTTTATTAAGTATCTATTTAACTCTATGTTCTTATTGTAGACAACCGACCTTTCAATTGTTACGTCGTAAAAAACTTTATACCGTATATATCACGATATATATATCTATAATAAATATCTGTTACATTTAGCTAAAGATTAGGAAATATCTAGCTCAATCAAGCTAGATAATTTTAGCTAATTATTATTTATTACGTACATTTTCGTGACTGACTTCTACACGGAAAAGTACTTTATTTTTTACATAACAACGATAATTGTAATATTACACATATTAAACAAAAACTAGCGAAAAGGCCACGTCAAGGTTTAGCTAGTTTATAACAAATTTATTTTAACTATAGCTATTATATACTTGACTTTCAATTTTATTTAAAACTTAGATACTTACGAAACTAAATTCTCAGGGAGTTCGAACTCGATTCAAGGGTAGTTACAGTAATTTATATTAAACTTTTGTGTCTCTAATAATTTTGATTTAAAAATTCCTATATCGTCTAAATCATTTTGTTATTCTGTCATTCCTATTAAGAACTCAAACGACTGTACCAATTTTGATGAAAGTCCTTCTTAATGTGGCTCAGCAGCCTGTCAGTTAGCCCAAAAAATTGTATACCCAATGGTTTAATTACATGCATGTAAATGTTTACTAAATTTTATTAAATTATTGTAATACCGGAATAAATACTTAACTTAATGAAATTGTAAATATATAAATGTTTACTACCTGCTTCAATGTATGAAATTATTTTGAGAGACGAATGAGTACCTAAGATGGTGAAATTCTAAATATATCGTCTTTGTTTCACTTTAAAGCACGTAACATGAAAAATGGTACTTAGAAGAAATATAGCTTGCACATTACCTAGTGTTTAGTTTAATTGCATTTCATGGCAATGATTTAACAACTATTGGAGCGAAAAGTGTTGCTAGATCTTAATGCAATTTGCTGGCGTGTGGCATTTGTTACCGTACGGTATATGTTTCGTGATGCCGATGAGCGTTCTGTTATATCTGTATTAGAAATTCTAGTGTTTATCTGTAGAACTCGAATGCTATTATTATCTGTATTGCTTGAAAAGGCCTAATTATAGCGTACCTGGAAATTGTTAATATAGACAGCGTTTTGATATGTTAGTGTGGATTAAAATGAGCGCATGCTTACATTAGTTGGTTTTTCGATTATTATTTTACATATATAAAGATATTATTATATCTCCTTAATATAACTGATATTAATTTTTTTTGCTACTCGTTTTTCTAGATTAATGAAAGTATTTATTTGCTTTAGCTAATGCTTAAGTTTCAACTTACCCTTATAAAAATAAAATATTTTAAACTTTCTTGAATCTAAAGTAATAGCTGTGATTTGAAACGTAAATTCACATACTATTACGTAGTTAAAATATAGTTAAATTCCATTTCTCCCGAGGGGCATGGGGCAAACACATTTATTTATCCGTTTTACTGAACGGTTTTTACTTACACGATCAGACTTCTGTGCTATGCCCGAACGAAACAATATTGTTACCCCGGAATTCGAACACATGACCTCTCGTATTTAACGCAATGCTAGGCAACACATTTAACCTTTTAGCTCTGTGCCTATATACCTCGAAATGTCTATAATTCCTGAATTCAGTACATATTCTATATTACCACCTTAAAACCTATTTAGAATTGCTAACTTAACACATCTCAGCGAATTCCCGCGCTTTAGCTCAAATTGAGCCTCAACAAAATGAAAATAATTAACTCCGTGAAGAATGAAAGTGGCATTCGACCTTTATAAGAGGCCTCTTCAGTGCGTTTCCGCTGGGTCAAGCAGCCAAGTTGTATTCGAAAGTGCGCCGTAATAATTATACGATGCGTATTCAGTGTACGAGCCTTAACGGGTTTGGTGTCACTTTTCAATACAAGAATTTGGGACGATAGTCTGTGGCGGTTTTATTAAAAGGTCTAGGACGGCCATACACGATGATTGGCATTGCCGAAAACGGTCGAGGAAGTGTTCACGGTCGCAAACTATTGTGCGATACTTTGTGCATATAGATTTATGGAATCACAGAAGTATTTTATTTATAAATAAAACGCTAGTTCAATTAGCGTTTGTTTTGCCGATTCTGTAATTGTGTTATGTTCTGTGAAAACATAATAATTTTCCCCTTAAATTCGACCTTTCCGGAGTTTTTTTTATAATTGAAATACGCGCCATTACTTATATTCAAAATTACATTTGAAAAACTTTAATATTTTTTTACATGTTATTGCACATGATGGCAGTATATACATTACAATTATAACAGTTCAAATCCCGCCCGTTTCGTACTTTTTTCGATTCGAAATCGATTTTTATGAATGTTATGTACATTGTTATTCCAACTTTTCTTTAAGCTGGATATTTTTTTTAAAAAATTGTCTGTGCCTGTAACTTGCGAATATTAGACCATAGAAGTATGGATGAGCTTAGTAAAAATACAAAGGATATCAATTTTAGATAAACACAGTTGGCGGTGCGTGGAGTTATCAGAGTTACATTATTACAGAATTCTCTATACGTGACCAGACTCTCAGTAGAGATAGATCAGGTTTCAATTGATTCTGATAGTGATATTGGAAGCCTGAGACGAGATTGCATAATTAACTATTGAAATAATAGAATAGCAGATATCGTGTTAATAACTATATAATCCTTATTTTTAGCTTAATATTATTTACAATAGGGATATTGACTGTTACGTTATTTGATCCTTTAGAAAGCAAAAAATTATGTTTTTAAAATATCTGGGAACATCGTATTATTTAAATTAAACACTTTAACTGTTTAAATCGCGATATATTAGTTAAACTAACAGATTTTTAACTTACTAACCGTTAGTGTTTTATTCACATGTGTACTACTTGCTTAAACTATAGACAGTATTTAACATCGTATTACCTAAATACATGTAGTCACGACTTCTTGAGCATGAGTAAACTGTTCGTGGAGTAAAGAAAAAAATAACATGAGCTCTACGTACCGCGAAGTACCTCTATGTGGAACCATTACAAAAAAAAAAAAAAAAAAAACAAAAAATTTGTATTAAAATTATATTTATATTGAATGACAGTTAAGATCAAGATTTTTTGGTAACAAATATAGGATCTTATGTTCTGCTAGTACGCCACTGGCTATTAAAGATTTCAACGCGTTTTGTCTCTCAACAAATCAAACATAATCTTGTCTCTTAATTACACTTTGTGGGTTATATGATCTCGAAGTAAATCATAAGAAATTCCTTTAATTCTATGATAATAATAATTGTATTAAAATAGTTTTAACAAAAGACTTAACAGAAACTGCCCTAAATAACATAATATAATAAAGTTCTAATATGTAACTAAATTTTCTACAATTGCTTATTAATTGCAAAAGCAATCAGGACCATGATTCATTTTTTAGAGTACCGGTTTTAGCTCAAAATCTTGTCGGTAAAGCAGTTTCTCATTACTTTGTCGTCGGTAAAGTAGGTTTACGGAATTTAGTATGAATTAACTATTAATTAAAAATGTTACTTGTCTTTAATCGTGACATAATTAAGACAATATGACGAAGCATTTAATTAAATTTGTTAAAGTAAGCAACACCATCGGCTACAATTGTACGGAGGTCGAAACCTTGACCCCGACGCCTATTTAGTAAATATTTAATCAACAATGCAACGGCAGCCATTATTTAAGGTTTGACATTGTGTATTGTTTAAATGTAGGAGGATCTATCGACATTAAAGCAAGAAGGTAAGCTCAAGTTAAAACAGGCTTTGATTTTGATCGTATTTCGAATTTTAATGTCAGTTTATAAAATGGTTAGCGTTGATAGGAATCCCGGGTTCGAATCTCGGAAAATATCGATAGCGGAGCAGGAAGGTGGTTTACGTGTCTGATGTGGTAGACATCCTTTGGTTTGGTGTTTTACTTTGGTTTTTAGCCCATGCGTCCCGATGAGCATGTAAAATAAATATTAACTAATATTACAAACATCTCCATTATTTGATTTCGTAATTCCTGTGTGTCGGAGACCACGTTAAGCCGTGGAGCCAAATTATCGCTACTTATAAAATTCCCCGCACTTGTTAAAGCCGGGGGGAGCAGAAATGAGGTGGGTCTGAGATAAATAAAAAATGTACCAGTAGTCGTACAAACGATAAAACTAATGACATTATTATATACAAATTTGGTACCTCATTCATTGGTAATAAATGTGATAAAAATAACATGCATTATCGATGTATCTATTTTAGTTTTCTCTTTAATACAGTCATCCAAAACGAGCTGTATCAAAATTAATTTGACAGACAAGTCGACCTCGATAATCTGTCTCTGAAACGTTAAGCAAGATATAGTCTGCCTTGCTGCTTGCATTAACCACAGACTAGAGCTATGCAATAAGAACGAAATGAAAACGTGTGAATTGGCTGTGATTGTATCAGGACATGCAAACAGG